GTGGTCTAAAAAACAAAATTTTGTAATTTTTTTTGGGGGGGGGGGGAATAAAAGTAGGCCAGCTACATGATTTCTGTCAGCAAAGGTACCACTAGAATATGAACCAATCTCTGTGATACAAAGCGTTTGTGATGAGGAGGCTATTATGCAGATAGTGAATGATGTTTAAAATCACGAATGCCTGGCAGTCCTAAACTGTCTGTAATCATGACAGCTCTGTGCAACCAATGCTTCACTTCTAATAAAGGTTGAATAGAAAGTGTTTGCTATTGCAGATTGATTGCCTCTGTGATTCTGGAGAGTGTGAGGATATTCTACTGTTTTAAAGCAATTGTAGCCAAGGAAAAGGTCTTGGAAATCAATCATTTTGAAGCAATGCAGGAAAGCTGTATTAAGCTGACACGGAGAATTAACAGGGGAGAAAACTAGGACAGTCAAGGAGCACACAGCAGATGGGTACTAGCAACAAAGAACAAACCTGTAGCAACGTGAAAAAAGGGATATAACTGAAACCACCTCCAAAATGGTGTATTTTCATGTGCCCACTCACTTCAGAGCCCATTCCCAGATGTCTCTGGAAATGGTATGCTTTCTGCAACAGCAAGTATCACACACCTCCTCTAAGAAAGCTCCTGTTCAAAAGGAATGTTTCGCACAGGGTGCTAAACCAAAGTGAAAGAGAATACAGAAACTGAAATCTTCCTCTGTTGAGAGCAGCTAAATTGCATGGTTCTGCCACAAGTCTGTAGTGAGCTACTGGTTTCACAAAGGCTTGAAAACTTGACCATAAGGCTATTAAACAGCTTGGAAAGCAGAAGGTAAAACACAACCAAATCTGATTTCCTGTGTTAAAACCAGGCAAAACGATGAACTCGGGACCCAGATTCAGTTACCAGGAGGTTGCCCTTGCTGCCAGACTGAGTCCAACAAAAGGGAACTCACTGCTCTGAGGTGTGGGTTGCAAAACCTTGCTTGCGAGCAAAGCTCAGGTGAGAGTTTCAGAAGCTCTTGGGTGAGAGTTTCCCAAACAGCTCTCTACCAGAAAGAAGTCCTCTTTAGGCAGAACTGCCCATTATTTCTCTGTAGACTTCTTTTCCCCCCTCTGAACCTTCTTCTA